TGCTTCCAAAAAGTCCCTGTGCAATAGCTCTAGTCTGCACATACAGGGTGGTCATGAGTCAGAATCAATTCAACAGCAAATTCCAACAACAACAATGCCATTTACATTGCATCATGTGATTAAAGGCCTCATGGACTGTGGAAATAGATCAATTTACAATGATGGTTTTATACCATTGACATTCAATACAGTCTTCTGTAATCAGAGTTTCATCTATCACTTATCTACAGTGATCTCAAAGTCAATCAGAGTATATGATTTGCTTGGGACGTTGACTTCATAAACTTCCTTATTGAAATATTAAATGCCTGTTGGATTTTAAACCTTCTTTTGAATTGTTTATATTCCAAAACTGAGGAGATCATCTGAACAAAGACTAAACAAGAAGTAATTTCTAAGATAGGGGAAATTGATGCAAAATAAGAGAATTCAAATTATTAATGACATTAAACAGTGCTATCCCATCCCCTTTAACTTTAAGGTGCCCCTATAAATTAGGAAACATGGCACAAGAAACTCATTGCCACTACCTATGAACAAATGTTCATAAACTGCTTGCTTACTGAATTTGGAATGCATGAGAAGTTATGAGAAATATAAGACTTTACCATTAATTGTAAACAGTTTTTGCTCTTATGTACATAAGATTTCTATGAGTCTGAGCCAACCCATGGCTAACTAAGAGCAACAGTGCAATTGACTTGAGGAGACCCTGAGTGGTACTAATGGCCATGCACTGAGTTGCTGATCCAAAGTTTGGAAGTTCAAGCTTACCCAGAGGATCCATAGAAGAAGAGTCTGATAATTTATCTTAAAAAAAAATCACCATTGAAATCGTTATGGAGTAGAATTCTGCACTAACATGCATGGTGTCACCATGAGTTGGGATTGATGTGACAATAGTTGGGTTTTCTTGCTTGGTTCTTAGTAGACTTGATGGAGACTACGAGGAAAATGAAGGAATAACTAAACCATGAATCGTGAGGTACTCACTACAATTACATTAACTGTTCTAAGGCCAAAGGTTTCAGTTGACTATATCTGACAAAAAGCTGTTGCACAGAAGATAAGACTTTGATCTAGGCCTGTAGGAAGAGAGGAGTTTAAAAAGCAGACAGTTTAATGTTGGGTACACTGGAAGTCTATATGCTATTTGATATAACTATGGCCTCAAAGGCCCAAAGTGGATATACTGAGGATTTCAACAGCCTAAAAAAAGATTGTTGGGCAATGCAAGAAAGTGGGTAGTCAGATTGCAGAGAGCTGTCAGTGTCTGGTTGTAGTTAACATCATAGTTAACATCATAGAACCATTAACATTGTACTGTGACAGATGACATAAGGTTTGACTTCTGATCTTGGATTTCAAACATCTTAACTCTTTCTTTAACCTTACTTTTTAAGCTGCAAGAAAATGGGCAAAGGGGGATTTCATTTATCTACCTCAATGAGTCAATGTGATAGTCTTTCAAGATAAAATGAACAAGAGTGTGTTTTAAAAGCTGAAAATCATTAGAAAATGTTAATTGCTATTACATTACTATGTGATAACATAACTAAAATTAGATTGTATTTGATAAACAGTAAATCTTTCAGGTTACCAGGTATTGTTTACTGTCAGTGAATTGTTTACTATCCAACAAACCAACCAACCACCCCCTGAACCCCACCACTCCTGCTCATAGCAATCCTATAGGACGGAGTATAGCTGTCCCCTTGAGGTTGGAAGCCTTTATGGAAGCAGACTGCCACATCTTTTTCTTCAGGAGCCATTGGGTAGTTGAACTGTTCACTGTGTGGTTAGCAGTTCACTAGGTAGCCCACTACTCTACTAGGACTCTTCTATATCAGGACTGAAAATAACACAATCCCTTTCTCTATTACATGAGTACAATGTAGGTATGGAAAATAAATTGGCAATAAAGGAGTAATCACTTTCAAACAATGGTGTAGTGATTATATGTTGGGCTGTGATCCACAGGGTTGGCAGTTCAAAACCACCAGCTGCTCCTCTGGAGAAAGACTGGCTTTCTACTCCCATAAATAGTTACAGTCTCAGAAAGCCACAGGGTGTCAATATGAGTCAGCCTTGACTTGATGCAGTGAGTGAGCGAGATTTTCAACTATGGTTCGATGGTGCTATCATCCTCAACGTTAGAAGGTCTTTGGACCACTCACATTCCTACCTATCTTTTCACAAAGTCCAAATCAGAGATGCCTAGACAGGTGCTAGACATTGGCAATGGGCCAGAGTGATTTTAATGGGAGCTGGGTTAGGTTACTGCTTCCTGATTAGGCAACCTAATAACCCACATCTTGTGGGGACTTTCTATTATCTGTTTGCCAGTTGGTGACATTCCCAAGTGCATGGGGAGTTGATTCAGAGTTCAAACCAGGTGAGGCGTGCACATCTATAAGAATGTAGGGTGGGACTGGCAGTCTCATCCCATGACTCTGCTCTGGTCTTGGCGTTTCTGTGCCAAAAGAAACTCAGTGGTCCCTTACATCAAAGAAAGAAAGAAAGAAAGAAAGAAAGAAAGAAAGAAAGAAAGAAAGAAAGAAAGAAAGAAAGAAAGAAAGAAAGAAAGAACTAGCTTGAAAAACAAAACTCACACACAAATGTTTAAAACTTCAATAATCTCTGACTTTAACATTTTTCCCCATACATTTTATCATTGTGTGGTTTACGCTCTGTGGTTAAGTTTCATTGCCCAAGATCTTTAGTCATATTCTAAAAAGTGTTTTCTGATCCACACCAAGGAGGCTTATCTTTTGCTTTAGTTACATTTTAATCTCTAAAACGTCAACATAATAAATCCACAGACTTTTCTACAGAATAATACTCTGCAGAAAGATGAAAGATTGCATTAGTTGACTCAGGGTTGGTGTTGATGGTATTAGGAAGCTTCAAAGGACAGAATATTTCCCATTTAGCTTCCTCCAAAATGTGGATCAAGCCTCCCAGCAGAGATTCTCTTGATTTTTCTTCTGGCTAAAAGTTCTAAGGATCTATGGAACTTTCTTATTTCTCAGAGAAGGTGATGTCCTGTCAAGGAAGAAGGGATTGGAGGCGGGGGGTGGGGAGGTGGGGTGGGGGACAGAGTTTATAACATTCTCCACAGTTGTGGAAGGTAAGGAAAAGAGTTTTGCTACATGATTGGTTTCTGATCGCCATCATATTTGCGAATTACTTTTGCTAGCAACCATGGGGACATGGGTCTTGAAAACCATCCTGAAGAGGATGTAGCTAAATTTCTGTGAAAGGAAGTCCCCATGTTATTCCAGTATTATATCCAGGCTTGCCATGGAGTCAGAAATGGGCAAGACTTGTCCATTAAAGCCTCACTGTTCTACTTCTTCCAAAGATAAGAGAGAGTCGAGCAGAGAGAAAGACAGGAAACGTGAAGCTATTGCACTTTTCAGCTTCAGGGAGCAGCTTAGGGGTCACTTGAGACTAAATTCAACGAGGTTCAGCTTAGCTCACTGCCATTCAGTCATTCTAACTCATGGTGACACATAGGACAGAGTAGAACTACCCCTGTGGGTTTCCAAGGCTGGACATCTTCATGAGAGCAGGGGTTCCTCTTTTTCTCACAGAGTGACTGCTGAGCTGAAGATTAGAAGCACCACCAGGGCTCCGTCTACTTGGTCACCAGGCGTCCAAGAGCTTGTGCGTGAACCTTGATTCCTAAGGGAGCTTGGGGAAACCAGAGTGAGTGCTGTCTTCTATCAAATAGGTTCCAACCTCTCAACTAAACCTCCTGATAAGCCCCTGAAGCTTATTAATCTCCCACCCCAAATCAAACCCATGGTTGTAGAGGCAGTTCTGACTCATCGATCCTACAGGCCAGAGTAGAACTGCTCCATGGTCTCCAAGGGATATAAATCTTTACAATAGCAGACTATCCTATCTTTCTCTTATAGAATGGGTAGTGGCAGGTTGCACAACATCCGGCCATCTATTCTGTTAGCAACTCAGTGCTTAATCATTGTACCACCAGGGTTCCTCCCACCGTGGTTCCAAAATGCATCCAATGGCCACTCTGAGGTGTTCAAATTAGAACTGGCATGAACTCTCTGGCATTGCTTCATCCCCCTGCTACTAAGAGAGTCCACAACTTATCCCAACCCAACAGTGTAGTGAACTGCCAAAAGCAAAGACATCATCATTGGCAATCTGCTGGATCCTGTTTGCAGATTCCCAGACACCACTGCCATACTACAAACACAGGGTTTCCAGGAAGGAGACCTGGTTCTGCAGCCCTTCCTGAACAACAATGGGAATTGAGACTTTGTCATCATATAAGCACCGTCATCATGTAATCTCTTCTCAAGCTGTCTGAAGTCCAGAGAATCATAGACTAATGGCAGGAACCTAGAAGGACCTGGCTGCCTCCAGGCAAGGAAGGGCAGTCTTGCAGGTTAGTGAGGTTCTAATCCTGACTTACATTACCTAAACAATAATACAGTAATGATAAAAGGGTTAAAGAAATTCAGAAATGTTTCAAAAGTCAAACCTCCTGTTACTTTGCCTTAGACAAGGAGCCCAGTGGTGCTGTGGCTTGGGCACTGGGCAGCTAACAAAGCCTGAAAGGAGGAAACTACATGGGGAGTTTGCTTTTCTGTTGTTCCTTTTTAGATGGAGAAGGGCACCTCTCAGAGCACCCAGCTCCCCAGAAGCTGGTCATCCCTAGCTGGTCCAGGCTGAAAGTGAGGGCCAAGTGCCTGCGTGATGTCTCCCACCACTGGGATTGCTGCAACCACCCCAGGGCCAGGCTCCAGCATCCACCGCAGATCTGGTACCGTGAGCTCCTCCCAGCCTCCCAAACTCGTGGGGCAGAGCTCCCTGGCCACACACGCCCCCTTCCCACTCCGCCCGCCCCCCAGTGCAGGGAATTTCCCAAGTATCCCATAGCTTGATTAATTTCCTGCCCGAACTAAGGAGACATATGCAAATAAAAGGGAGCGCACACCACTTGGAGAAGAAGGCAAAGTATCTCAAATCTGCGCGCTCTTTTCCCCTCTCGCCTCGCCGCGGTCTCTGGCCTGCAAGCTCGCACCAGTTCGACACCCTCTATTCACCGCTATGCCTCCCCGGTCCAACCCTGCCGCCCGCGTCCCAGGTCGTTCGGGGTCCCTGTGCAAGCTGCTCGCCCTGCTGCTGCTGCTGGCGCCACCACGGCCACTTGTCCGCGGTAAGAAGGCTGGAGGTCCCCTGGCAGCAGGGCTGGGCATCCTGGAAGCAGAGGGGAGTTTGCTTGCCAGGAAAGAGCTCTCCCCGCAGGTTACCTGCGCACTAACAATACGGATCTCAATCTCTCTCTCTCTCTCCCCCCACGCCCCCCTCCCAGCTGGCCCGGTGAGCACTGTGCTGAGAGAGCTGCGCTGCTTGTGTTTAGGCTACACTCCTGGGATTCGCCCCAAAATGATCAGGAATCTGCAAGTGATTGCCGCAGGCCCGCAGTGCCCCAAGGTGGAAGTGATGTAAGTTCTCCTCGCTGGGGCATTTTCAGGGACCTTTGGAAGGTCAAAGTGGCCCAGCCTAGATCTTCAACCTACATGGCGTATGGGCGCATCTTCTCTCCGCAGAGTCACGCTGAGGAAGAGCGGGAAGGAAGTCTGCATTAACCCAGAAGCTCCGTTGTTCAAGAAAGCCATCAAGAAAATTCTGGACAGGTACCTGTCATTGGGATTCTTGTGGTTTGAGAATTCTGCTTTGCAGAGTGTAGACTTCACAGTGTCTGTGCCTGCCAGAGATAACTTTTGGGTTTGGGCTACCACAACTCAGGCCATGTTTAGTACAAAAAGGTTAAGGAGAAGAGGGGATGATTCAGAAATGCCCCGGGAAAGCCTTCATCACACAGGCATGCACGCAGTTGGGTCAGCAAGTCAGCAAAGTTCCTTAGTGAGACGCGTTTTGATGTATAGTCTTTGGCTTGGGTCTTTATTTTTACCAAAAGTTTCCAGCTCTCAGTTTGGAAAGCAGGGCAGAGGGGAGGATTGTGGGGAACTGGGTTCAACTGACAGAATTATTTCCTCAACAGTGGAAAACAGAAAGACTGATTAAGTGATAGAACCACGCATGGGAAAACCTACCCAGCCTTCAATGGAATGTTCTTCTAGAGACCGCTCATTCAGAGGAGACATTAAGCAAGAGTTGGCATTCTTCAGCCAAGCATCGATTTCATGAAATTTTGAGGAAGAAGGCCTGTTTGTCCCTGCAGTTTTCTGCTAAGCATATTAAGTATTAAACATAACATTTTGTGCTATTTATTGTAACCATTACTTTATTGGAATCTTTGGCAACTGCTTAAATTGTGAGTGAAGGATCACTGATTGTTATTCTTTCAAAGTGTATCAAATTGAAAGTGATTATTGTACTTCTAGACTATATTCCTTACAGTATTACTGACAGGACTAGACATTGAATAGGTAAATGATATTTCACTGGAATGTCATTGATGGGGATGGCCTGCAATCCTCACTCTTCACATGAAATGAGACATATTTTAGTGTTGTTTCTTGAGGGAATATATCAGAGAACTTTTTTACTCTTGACCATGGTATGCTGTTTAAATTATATTATGTTAAATAGCTGGGTGCATCATGCACTTATCTGTGTAGCATGTATTTCTTTATTTCATGTATTCCTAAATAATTATAAATATATAATTATTTAGAATTTCTAAATCTTTAAAATCGACACACACGCACACACACACACACACCCCAATCAAACCCACTGCCTGTGAGTCTGTTCTGACTCACAGAGGTCCTGTAGGACAGGGTAGATCTGCTCCATCGGATGTTTGATGCGATCAGTCTTTATGGAAGCACCTATCTCATCTTTTCCCTTGGAGCAGCTGGTTGGTTTGAACTTCAAACTTTTCACCAGCAGTCTCACACTTAACCCACACTCACTGTGCCAACAGAATCTCCTCTAAGTTCTAGAAGAATCAGTACATTCTTTCCTGGCAACTTTAGACATTTAATGTCTTCTGAGTATGGCATAATGCCATTATTTACTCATTACACTTTGGTTTTATATGATATTTATTAGATAGTATGAATACTATAATTTTAGTAACAATATATGTTTGGCTAGATAAAGCTATGTAATAGGAACATTTAGGATTTCCTGTTATTATGGAAATGCCTTCTTTCGGGTGATTTTAATATGAAACATTCATAGCAATGACTTGTACTCTGAAAAATTTGGAAACATTGAAACTAATTGAATATAAATTCATTATATGGTCTTCAAGTATAAACATTGCACTGCTAAGATTTTAGGGATGCTTTTGCTGTCTTTGTAAGGCTTGGGCCCTTTTATTATAAGGAATTATGTATATATTGCATTCACTGTATGACTGCACACCCTTTAAAAAACTGTATGTCTTATTTGTTTACAGTACTTCCTTTATCCTTTTGGAGAAATACACGATTTTAAAATTTCAAAAATGTTGCTTCTGTTATAATAATTTTTCATTATCCTTTATTCTACATTACTTAAAAAAGAGAGAGAGAGAGAAACTCCACTTTTTTTCTAGCTAACAGAGAAGATCTCTTTCCCCAAGGTCATTGCATAACCCCAATCTTTCTCCAAGGTCACTCCTCTTCCAATTATACATTTCTACTCGCAGCAATCTTTGGGGTCTACAGAAAACACAAATGAGATCAGACTTCCCTACCTATGCTTTTACCGACTCGCTATTTCCTAGATGTAATAAGAAAGTATTATGTATGAGAACATGACCGAACCAAACTGCCATTGAATTAATGCTGATCCATAGTGATCCTTACTGTGCGTTTCTGAGACTATAACTGTTTACGAGAGTAGAATGCCTAGTCTTTGTCCTGCAAAGCTGCTGGTCATTTTGAACTGTCGATCTCAAGGATTATAACCACTGGACCACGAGTGCTTTAGAAGGACATGGAGTACTACACAAGTAATTGGACTTGTGATTACTATTTCAGTTTCATGTTCTGCCTCGTGTTTTCTGCAGACAGGTGGGGGACATATTCTTCCTGGCCTCATGTCTTTGAACTTGCTGAGGCCTCGATGTGGAAGGTCATCAACAGTCTTTACATTTGTCATACTGTAGTTGCTAATGTGTTGCTATGATGTTAGAAACTATCACCCTCGAGAACAGCTTTTAGTTATGCTATTATACTAAGGCTAGGAAGAAAGACCTAGAGTTCTACTTCCAAAAATTAGTGAATTGAAACTCTATGGATTGCAACAGAATATTTTCCAATATAGTGCTAGAAGATCGACTCAAATGTAACAAAAATCATGAACATTATGCAAGACTGAGATACTTTTATTCTGTTGTACATAAGGTTGTCATGAATCAGAACCTTCTTCATGGCAATTAACAACTCTCAGCAAGAGCCTTATCGCTTTACTACGTATAAGAGGAAGCTTATTTTTCCTTCAGAACTCAGCTCAAACTATACTTCCTTGATGATGTTTTTTTTGGCACCCCCATCAGAGCTCATGGTTTCCATTTCAATGGTCACATAATATCTTGTAGATACTTGAATTATAGCAAATATTTCATTACTATTAATAATTTATAGATCTATTTACCCTTTTCTACTGAGTTCTCTCAGATAATCAAAGCAATTCATTCATCTCCTCATCCCCAAAGCCTCACAATCCATATTTTAATGAATTAGTGCTATCCTAACGCTTGGGTTGTTGAGTAATGTCCTAAAACCAATGACCTGGTGCACAGTAGGTACTGAGTAAATTATATTTACATTCTTTACTCCATCCTAGTCTATGAATAATCCAACAAGGGCTCTAGAATATTTCATTCTCTTAGTCTATAGCACCTATTTCTCATTTACACCTGGCTAAATTTTTTTTGGGAGGGATCAGTTTACCTGTCACTTTTTCAGAGGCAGCCACCCTACCTATTACCTCCATCAGATTGAGACATCTTGTATATGTTCTAATAGCACCCTTGGAGAATAGCTACCTAGACAAATGAATTAAGAATATACATAGCTACATAGATGTATTTCCCCCTCATCATATATAAGTACATTTACATCTTTATATGCCTGTATTTAAATCTCTATGACTCCTCTTTGCCTCCTATTTCTTTCCTCTATTTCTTTGTACTTTCTTCTTGTCCCACTATCATGTTCTGCCTTCATTTGGGATTTAGAAATTCCTCTCGGTTACATTATCCTTGATCCAGTCCTGCCAGACCTCCCACACCCTCCTTGACACTGATTTTGTATCACTTGTTGTTCCCTTCTCCCCGGGCTTGTTAACCCACTTTTTTACCCCTGCCTCCCCTGCTCCCATGTCCCCCTGGAACTGTCATCCCATTGTTCTCTCTTCTGGCTTGTTTATTCCGCCTATCCCTTTAAGGTAGACATGCTATGTACCACCACAAGACTGAGTACAATGAAGTAACAACAGAAAGTTAAACAATAGCTACAACAACAACACACACACACACACACACACACAAACGTATAAATAGTTCAGGGTCTGTTTGTTGTTCTTCAATGGTGCTTTCCAGTCAAGTCTAATGGGGTGCCATCCCCTGGCACCGCCTCTATCCCTGGGGACTTCATTGCTCTGCTCCCTCCGCTGCTCTGCTGCATGCCCCCCAGAGGCTGGCTTTGGCGTGGTGAGCTCATGGTGGGCACAATTCCCGCCATGTGTCTCTAGTATTGTCCCCAATGGTTCTATGGGTCAATGAGGAATGCTGTGTCCCGTGGTGGGGCTGACACTGTGGTTATCTCTGTGTATTGATGTTCTGAGCAGGAACATTGTCCTCAGGGCTTGGTGAGCCAGGATGTGCTTCATTCTTTTTTTTTTTTCCTATCCCCCCCTCATTGGCTCCTGTGTGCTCTGACCAGACCAGTATAGGTTGAGTATTAAGAAAGCAGATGGACAGTGGGCCCCTGCACAAGTACTCCCTCAACACAAGAACACTTTGTTCTAACAATTCGGCAGTCTGAGATGCTCACCTTCCTGGAATGATCTCTGAAGACAATGGGCGCACAAGCAAATGTGATGAAGAAAGCTGATGGTGCCCGGCTACCAAAAGATATAGCACTTGAAGTCACTGAACACAATTGGTGCACAAGCAAATGGGGTGAAGAAAGCTGAGGGTGCCCAGCTACCAAAAGATATAGCACCTAAAGTCTTAAAGATCTGAAGATAAACAAGCAGCCATTTAGCTGAGAGACAAAAAAATTCACATGGAAGAAGTACACCAGCCTTTCCCAACTTGATTGCTGAGGACAAAGAGGGTGCATAAGCAAAAGTGGTGAAGAAAGCTGATGGTGCCCGGTTATCAAATGATATAGCATCTGGGGTCTTAAAGGCTTGAAGATAAACAGGTGGCCATCTAACTAATAAACAACAAAGCCCACATGGAAGAAGCACACCAGCCTGTGAGATCACAAGGCATTGAAGGGATCAGGTATCAGACATCAAAGACACGCCCCCCCCCCAAAAAAAATCATAGCATTGTGAATGAGGGGGAGTGCAGAGTGGGGACCCAGGGCCCATCTGTGGGAAATTGGACATCCCCTTGCAGAAGGGCTGCGGGAAGGAGATGAGCCAATCAGGGTGCAGCATAGCAACGATGAAATGTGCAATTTCCCTCTAGTTCTTGAATGCTTCCTCCCCGCCACTATCATGATCCTAATTCTACTTTACATATCCGGCTGGACCGGTGGATGTTCACTGACACAGATAGGAACTGGAAATACAGAGAATCCAGGACAGATGAACCCCTCAGGACCAGTGGAGAGAGTGGCGATATCGGGAGGGTGGAGGGAAGGTGAGGGAGAAAGGGGGAACAGATTACAGGGTCTACATATAACCTCCTCCCTGGGGGACGGACACCGGAGAAGTGGGTGTGGGAGACGTTGGATGGTGTGAGATATGACAAAATAATAATTTATAAATTATCAAGGGTTCAGGGGGAGCAGGGAGAGGGGAAAAAATGAGGAGCGGATGCCAAAGGCTCATGTGGGAAGCAGGTGTTTTGAGAATGATGATGGCAACACATGTATGAATGTGTTGGACACAATTGATGTATGTATGGATTGTGATAAGAGTTGTATGAGCCCCTAATAACATTTTATTAAAAAAGAATATACATATCTGTGTTCATTCCAAAGTGAAGTGAACTAACAGCATACTGAAATTATCGAACAATAGCATGAATATCATCACATCCAAATCAACTTTTTATTAAGACAGGTTAAAAACTGTTGCAGATGTCCAGAGATTGGGAATTGCCAGAATTTCAAGGCAAATTCAAAAGAGGACGTGAAACAACATCATTGCTGATATCAGCGGAATCTTGGCTGAAAGCAGAGCATACCAGAACCTTGTGTTTTTGACTGTGTAAAAGCACTTCACTGTGTGGATCATAAGGAGTTTGCCAAGAGGGGGAGGAAGCAAAAGGAAGATAAAGCAATGGGCTAGCCTGTTGATGGATGCTAACTTGAAGGAAATGGAAGATAGCACTTCTCAAGAGGGAAAAGAGACTTCAGGGACTCAGTGAGTGTTAGACAACTGGGGGATTTGGTGAGTGGTTTAAACTGTTG